CAGCTGTTGTAAATACCCATCACCAGGGACGGGGAGCTGCCACTGCCCCAGATGCAAGGGCTCCCAGAGATTGCACGTTGTCCTGCACGCATGGCATCTTACGCTCCTCCCAGCGCTTCTGGGTTGTTCTGTGATTAGCTCATGTGGCTGATGAAGAGGCTGAGGACTCTGCCAGGGACACTGTCAGCCCAGAATGCCTTTCCCTGAGGCTTTCTGGTGGGTCACCACCTCCTGTCCATTCTGCTGCGTGTCCTCCCGGCTGGGCTCGCTCCCTTCGCTGGGGGCTGCCTTGGTGAGCAGGGATGGCTCCAGCAGAACCCCAAGTGACAAGTCAGCCTTGGTGACAAGTCACAGTCCCTCCAAACACATAGGTTGGCATTCTGTTTGCCCATCTGCCCGCGGGGTGTTTGGTTCCTGCGGGCCAGGCCTCCAGATGTCACCAAGTCTGGTGACCTGAGGAATAACAACAAAAACAAGTCCCAGACCCGCTGAGCAAAGACAGGCTGTTATGTTCCCTACCATTCTGCCTGTGGGAATTGAGGCTGTGAGGGGCACGGCTACCTAAAGACCCAGTGAGGCCTTGGGCTGTAGAATCCGAGATCCTTGCTGTGTGTCTGGGGGTAAGTTACTTAACTTCTCTGAGCTTCATGGTCTAATTTATCTCACAGAATAAATGTATGTGAAATCACTGTAAGTTAAAGTGCTCTGTGGTCTTTTCCTCAATGAGCTCAGCCACTATTGCTGCCACTGTGCGTGCCTGCCTGGCCCACGGGTCCTGAGTCACTTCAGGGCAGGAAGCAGAGTGGGCCTTGCTCCTGTCATCTGCTTCCTTCAGTCTCTGGAAGGCAGGCCCCTGTGTCCAGCCCTCTGGACACCTGTCCCCAGGCAGGAGGCTTCTCCAGGGGATGTCACTCCCAAGCTCCTTGTCTGTACCCCCAAGTTGGGAAGGATCGTCACATGATGGCCCTTCAGTAAGTGTTTAAAAGGGGGGTTCTGGGCGGTCAGGAAGCAAGCGGAGAGCCACCGACTGGGCGGGAGGAAGGGCCCCGCACTTGGTCTACCTCCAGTTTGAGTTCATCCTCTGCCAGTCTGGCTGCAGGCCCCTCTCCACCAGCCTGAACTATCTTAGTTGGAATAGCATCTCTGTTGTGGTTCCCCAAGGGAGGTCAGCATTCCCCCACCCCCACCCCAGACCAGGAGCTGGGGTAGAAGCCACGCTTTTCTACCTGCCCCCATCAGACTGACCCCCAGCTGGGCAGGATCCATTCTTCGGGCTCAGCAGGCCACAGAGCCCTGGTTGGCTGATCCGATGAGCAATTACTTGCCTCTGGGTAAGACAGTGATCTCGCTGAGCTCTTGTTTCACCTTCTTGTCTAAGAACCTAAAGGCTGTTTTGCAACCTTTTGGCCCCTTTCCTCTAGCCAGAGAAGTGAGCGAGATTCCCTCTGCCCCGGACCCCTCTGACCTGGAGGACAGGAGCACAGGGAGGGGTCTCTGCAGGGGACGGGGCAGGGCTGACTCCAGGGGCCATCTCGGGAGGCCACCCAGACAGATCCTCCCCATGGCAGGGTCTACAGAGCAACTCCTTCCTGGGCTAAACACAGGTGAGTGGTTGTGGAACCTCCCCAGCCCCAGCAGCACCCTCTGCAAGCACAGGACAGGCCTGGCTGCTGCAGGAGAAGCCCTCCCACCATTGAGGACAAAGCGCAGAAACAAACACAGGCATCCCCCCGCTTCCCCGCCTCCTGCACAGAGAGCGAGCACTCACCTGCTCCTTTGGCCTCAAGGACTTGCACCCCCACACCCCGCTGTGGAAGTCAGGTGGTGAGAAATGGCGACTGGCTTTAAATAATCACAACCGGCTATTTTAGGCCCCTGGGGACCGGGTATATTTTCCAAGCTGCAAGGAACACACCTTGCATGAAGCAACACCTGTTGAGGCCAGACTTCCTCAACCGCCAGCCCTGCTCCCAGGCTGGGCAGCTGGAAGACAAGACGGAGGCCTGCCGCCCCCTGCTGGCGAGCCTGAGGACCACACCGGGGGGGAGGATCCCAGAGGCTTGGGGAACACCTCTGCACGGGATCCTCTGGAGAGATGGAGATGAGCAGTAACACTGCCTGTCTCCCTCCCTCCCCTTTCTCCCAGGGAACCAGAGGGAGTGAAAAAGAGATTTCTGTCTCCCAGAGGCAGGATTCCCCTCCCTGCGGCGTGGAAGGAAAGATGAGGCTCAGTAAGTTTGTGACTCCCCCAGACTCCCCCAGGAAGTTGGAGCCTCCTTCACTGCAGAACCAGGGAAGAGGCGGGCGTGCCCTCTGACTGTCACCAGGAGCACTGCTCCCACCGGGGACCTCCTGTGTCCTCTTATCTCCCCCGGCCAATGCCCGCTCCTTACCGTGTTCCCCATCTCTGTATGCCGGCCACGCCATGAGCACCTGGGCTAAACGAATTGCCCACATTCAACAGATCTGCAGCCAGAGAGACGCCGCGGGGCAAGGTGTCTACCAGGACATGCCTCGTGGGTAGGGGGTCCTGGTGGTGGAACCGGGGTCCACGAGAAGGGGCCTGCAATGCCTCTCCCTCGGGGATTCCCACTCATGGGGGAGACAAGCCAGATGACTTTACCAAGGAGTCACAGGCTGCCCCAAACAGGGAGCAGCGCTGAGCGTACAGCTGGAGGGTAAGTGGTCCCAAGGTTGAAGGTTGGGGGACTCCTGGAGCTGCAGCCACGTTGGGGGCTCTGTCAGGGAGCAGGTGTCCTGGCCTAGATCGTGGCTTCCTTAAGCCGCGGTTCTCAACCTGAGGGTCGCGACCCCTTTGGCGGTCGAAGGACCCTTTCACAGGGGTCGCCTAAGACCATCCTGAATATCAGATATTTACATTACGATTCATAACAGTAGCAACATTACAGTTATGAAGTAGCAACGAAAATAATTTTATGGTTGGGTCACAACATGAGGAACTGTATTTAAAGGGCCAGAAGGTTGAGAACCACTGCTTATGAGGAACCTCCTGTGTCATGCTTCCCTCTGTGCTCAGCATCTTATGGATTACAGGGGGCGCTTACCTGTCCTTCTTGGAGGGGCCCCTCTTCCTCTCTCCTGGAGAACATGCAAGTTGAAACAGTGTCCGTGTCCGGCTTTCCTCAGACCCTGACTACCTCGGCCTCAGTTTTCCTGGACACCCCTGGGCTTCAGGCCGAAACGAGTCTTGGTGACTGAGGGCAGCTCACAAAGGAGCTGTTTCTTCCCAGAGGTGCTGGCCAGGGAGGTCTCCCCACCCCTCTGCCCCCCAGGCCAGGGCAATAGGAGAAGGAATGTGTGGGGAAGTCCCGCGCCCACCCGCCTGTCCTGTGCTAGTCACAGCACCTCTCCAGCCTCTAGGCAGCTTGCGAGGCTGATTTGGTGGTACCAGCTGGAGTCAGTGGCCTTCGGTCCCCAAAGCTAGGAGAGGGCTTCCTTCATGGTGCCCCTCCTTGCTAATTCCCGTGTCAGCAAGATCCCTTAGCAACAAGTGCCATCACAGGGCAGTGGGTAAATACCTTCTAAAGGGAAACCCCTACTTACTGAAAAATGATGATTATAGGACAAGGATCTGGAGGCAGATGGACCAGGATCTGAATCCCAGTTCAACCCGTGACTGTCTGTGTTGCCTTGGGCAATCTGCACAACCTCTCTGAGCCTGTTTTCAAATCTGCCAGGGGGATAGTGGTTTGTATGGCAAGGGGTTGTGCAGGACTGAGAGGACATAATACAGCGACTCCAAGTGGTTTAAATATTGGGCCAAGGACAAGTGGAGCTCAAGGTAGCACAGTATATCTTCCTGGAGTATTAGTACTACTAGGACCTTTCAGTCCGCAGGCCGACGCTCTATCCACTGAGCCAAACCGGCTTCGGCTGAATTTTATTTTATTTTTAAAATAAATATTTGTATTTATTTCAGAGAGGAAAGGAGAGGAAGAGAGTTAGGAACATCAATGATGAGAGAGAATCATTGACTGGCTGCCTCCTGCACACACCCCACACTGGGGATCGAGCCCGCAACCCGGGCATGTGCCCTGACCAGGAATCAAACCCTGACCTCCCAGTTCATAGGTCGATGCTCAAACACTGAGCCACGCCGGCCGAGCGTGAGTTCAAATTTTAAAAGAGGAAAGAAGAGACTGAAAGAAATGTTTTACTTGCTTTGGGTTATGCTCTAAACGTAAGGGTCAGGGGTTACCTGGTTAACAGTCGGCCTTTGGGAGTATTTCCATAGAAGAGTCTGCAAGCGATGTGTCAGGAGCCATCTCCTGCCGGCTGCACAGTGGGGCGGTCAGGACTCATCCCTAACAGTTCCCTGATGAGTCCTGGCTCTCTCGGGCTTCAACCACCAGCACCAGGATGAGAATCAGACCTGGCAGGCCAGTGAGGGGCCAGGGCAGGGGTCCTCTCCTGCAAAAGTACTAGGAGCATCACAAAGGTGGGCAGGAAGAGTCTCTTTTCAGACTCCAGGGTGACAGGCATGGGAGGAGATAAGTCCGTCTATTCCAGGCATCAATGCCTCTATTTGTGTTTTGTGCATCCGTTTATTTTGTTTCTTAGATTCCACTGATAAATGAGATCATACGGTCTTTCTCTTTCTCTGACTGGCCTATTTCCCTTGGCATAATAATCCAGGCCCATCCCTGCTGTTGCAAAAGGTAAGATCTCCCTTTTTGATGGCGGAGTAGTATTCCATTATGTAAATGTACCAATTATCTACTTTTTATGTAATGTACATAAAAAGACAAGATGGAGGAACCACTGCTCCAGAGGATCCAATGTAGAGGTGTTCCCCCACGCCTCTGGGATCCTCCCCCTGGTGTGGTCCTCAGGCTCGCCAGCAGGGGGAGGCAGTAGTATTCCATCATGTAAATGTACCAACTCATCTACTAATGGGCACTTGGGCTGTTTTCAGATCTTGGCTGTTTTAAATAGGAGTGCATATATTCTGTCAGCATAAGAATATTCAAAACTGTAGAGAATTTTTATGAGTTTATTTGAGCCAAGCTGACAATGATTGCTGGCAAACAAAACCTCAACAGACTGAGGAAATGCTCCAGAAAACGGCAGCTCAGCACACTGCTTTATATATACATCACTATCAAAAGAGAAAGCGGAAGTGGGCTACGTGAAATCCACTGGTGATCTCTGGCTCTGCTCCGTGGCGCCTGCGCTTTGAGGGGTCCGGACAAAGGGAAATTACTTTGTTTTCTGCAAAGGCATGTTTACCAGGTATGTTGTTCTAGATGCAAAAAGACGACAGTCTTAGCTAAGGTGAAGATTGACTTTTGTCAGGGAAGATTCTAGCGTAGGACAAGACCACCTGCCATAAACTCTCGGTTCAACAGTTTTAATTTTAGACCATTCTATGAGCTTACTTTCGGTTTCTGAGGCCTCCCCAGAGCTTGTCAAGTTTAGCCCGTGGCCCTTTTTGGTCCATAATTTTTCGCATCAGTGTTTTGTGAAACGCTATATTCCCAGAAGAGGGATCACTGGCTCAAAAGGCAATTCCATTTTTAACTTTTTGAGGAACTTGGCACTGCTCTCCACAGTGGCTGCACCAGTCTGCATTCCCACCAGCAGTGCACGAGGGCTCCCTTTTCTCCACCTCCTCCAGCCACACTTCTGAGTTTCCGTCCAGCTAAACCCAGTCTTCCACCTGGCTTCTCTGTCCTTCTCTGCACTTTGACCCCCACGTCCTGTGGATCTGTGGCTGACGTCCTGTGTGTTGGGAATCTGTGGCCAGGCCTCCTGGGACTGCCACAGAAATAGTTCATGAGGGGCCAATTTCACCAGAGCAGAGGGCATGACTGGCCAAAACCAGGGTAAGCTCAGCACAGTGCCAGGCACACAGTTAAGGAGTTAGTTAATGAATCTGTTTCCGGCTGCTATGTCTGCCTCTGCTGAGAATGTCTGCTGTTCGTACATGTTTGCCTCTTGACAACCAGACCCTTGGACTATTCCTGACTTCCAAGCCCTGGGATGAAGCCATCATTCCTTTGTGTGACACTGCACTTGTATTTCAGCAGAGACACTTCTAAGCTCCTTGCTTCGGTTTGGCTGATAAGTTCACAGTCACATATCCAGGAAGACGTAATTACATCTTCTGGGTTTGAGGAGACCTCTCAGGTGCTGGGGGTGGGGTCCTTATGATATCTCAAGAAAAAGAATTTTCTAAGACTTGCATGGGAGGATGAGTGACTTTTATTTGTGTGGAATTCCATCCCTGGGCTTCTAAGGTCCCATTCCCTTCCTGGAGGAAGTGTAGCTGGGGTTTCAGTGAAGCTAAATCAGAACTGGGGCCCAGGGTTTCCGTTCCATGTTGTAGCCGGGTCCCGCTCAGCATCAGGCTAGTGACAGTCCATCAGTCCATTGTGTGTGGGGTCCACATGGCCATGGCAAATGCAGGACGCAGGAGCGAGAGAGCCCCACAAGTCAGGAGTCAAGAGCAACCAAGAGAGCGAGCGTCTTTATTCAGGGGAATAAATACCCACGTTACATGCCTTGCGGTGGCCACACCTATTCTGGCCAGTGGGCTGTTCTGAGGTGTGACTGACAGCAAGCACGTTCCTTTTGTCACCCTCAGTTTACTGGGCGTGTGTCTATTCTCCTCTCTGTCCAATCTGTGGGAATAGACCTGTGGCTCCCTGGGGAGTGCAAAGCTTTAGCGTTCTGGTGAAACTGCCGAAAGGATAGTTTTCCAGGAAGGAACTGTGTTCTTTCTTCTTCCTCAGTTTTTCTGGTCATGTCAGTGAATTCGTTTGTTTTCTTTGGGATGACACAGGAGGGAGTGCAGTGCTGTTTAGATGACTTTCTCGTAGATAAATAGCTTTGGTGTGTCTGGCGATGTGGGCAGTGAGTGGGGTTTCTCCATCTGCCAAACAAACACAAGAATGTAGAGCGCTGAAGGTAGGCAGGCTTCCATACCCCTCACAGATACTCTTTACTGCCAAGGTTAACCCAAGCCTCCCAACTGCGCCTGCTCCACCGTGTGATCACTCCGACCTTAGAGAAACCATGCCTTGAGGTTAACCCACATTTATCGTGTTGAATGCTTAAGGAGCTGAACTTTTCCTCCAATAATCCACCAGAACCAACCTTTCCTTCTACTAAGTAAACTGCTTTCCCCATTCTCATCTATTCTGATCTGATCCGAAGGGCAGACAGAAGGCATCACTGCTTCTGCCAAGTGCGATCTGTGAAGGAATGAACTTTAAAGCTTACTGCCTTCGTAGGTAGACTCAGGGGGGTGTGCAAACCAGATGCATCATAGGTAGAATACAGAAAAGCAAAGCAAACTTATCCTGCTTCCAGTTAACTGGTGGCTCAGAAGCAAGCTGAGTCTCCTCCCAGGCACAGCCTCCCCAGAGCCTTTTCTACCTTATCCGTGTCCCCAGTCAGGGTCCTGCTGATTTTGCTACCATTCTTCCCTAGCAGCTCTCTCCTACTCTGTTTGTTCCACATTACCCCCATTTGATTCCTAAACACAATTCTCTTCTAGTCTCTATATCCTATGTAATTGTAAGCAAAGGGAATGGGGACATCCTGGGGAACTTCTAATGCCATACCAGGAAACATGAAATCAATGGGGCCCAAGAAATGTTAAGCTAAGCTTGAACTAGCAAAAGTGATAGAACAACTAAGATGAAACTCAGCTCTAATGCTTCTTACCTTTTGGGGTATTTGCACTGTGCAATAAAGAGGATGTTCTGAATTTTCCTCTGGGATAGTTTTCTATTTAAAAAAAAGAAGAAATCATCATCCATCTTCTGGGTCACATAAACAAGGCCAAAGAGATGCCGAGAGCCCAAAGGAAAGAAAGCAGAGAAGGGAGGAGAAAGTGAGAGGGACAGAGGGTTCTGGAACAGGAATGGGTAGTGGGAAGTGCTCTTGTTGATGTCTGTAATTATAATTATTGCCGAAACCGGTTTGGCTCAGTGGATAGAGCGTCGGCCTGCGGACTGAAGGGTCCCAGGTTCGATTCCGGTCAAGGGCATGTACCTGGGTTGCGGGCACATCCCCAGTAGGGGATGTGCAGGAGGCAGCTGATCGATGTTTCTCTCTCATCGATGTTTCTAACTCTCTATCTCTCTCCCTTCCTCTCTGTAAAAAATCAATAAAATATATTTAAAAAAAATAATTATTAATAACTTGTTTACAAAATAATCAGATTGTTTTAAAACTGTGTTGTGTTTAAGTGAACTTAAAATATGTAAGATCTAGCACTAGCCAGTTTGGCTCAGTGGATAGAGCGTTGGCCTGCGGACTAAAGGGTCCTGGGTTCGATTCTGGTCAAGGGCACATGCCCGGGTTGCGGGCTTGATTCCCAGTAGGGGGCGTGCAGGAGGCAGCCGATTGTTGATTCTCTCTCATCATTGATGTTTCTATCTCTCTTTCTCCTTCTTCCTTCCTCTCTGAAATCAATAAAAATATATATTTTAAAAAATATATATGTAAGATATAAGTCTCATGAGCTATGAGCCTCCAAGGTGATTAAAGGATAATTTGAAATCATATTGCTAATTGTGGCAAATAAACCTTGTCATCAGTCAAAACGGCCTTTGGAACCAGTCAGCAAAGATGACTGATGGGACAGAATAAAACAAAACAATAACAGCAATAACAAAAGTGCCTTCTGGGCTGGTGAAAATTACCCTGGATCAATGAAGTTTATTCCCGAACACCCAGGACATCCAGTCCTGTGGTCTCCTGGGACTGTGTCTCCAGCAGGGAGAATGAACCATAAAGTGATCAATTTTGACAGAAGTCGGGCTGAGTGGAGCACAGAGCAGTCTCCCTACAGGAGCAAAGAGCTCTCAGGACACTAACAACTTCGAAGAGGGCATGTAAGGTCTCCTCTTGGAAAAGTTGTAGGTGAGAGTAGGAGGCTGGAGTCACACTGGCATTCGGAGGCTCTAAAGTGCTCCTTTTATTAAACCGGCCTGTGTGGGAAAGCCCTCTATGACCGTGAAGGAGCTAGTCCAGCCTGGACTACAGTGATTGTTCCTGGGGCGGTAGTGGGGGGGGCAGGAGGTGGGGGCGGGGGGAGGACTTTTGAAGTTCTCTAGTTCACGTCTCCAGATTGCCTCTATTTATTTAGCTTTTGAAAAACTTTATATTTATACTCTTCTTTTCAAAGAGTTTCCTTTGGATTAACCTTGTGTTCATTGACTGGAGTTTGGTGACCCACGCTTGGGAAGCCTTGAGTGTGGCCCAGAGCCACCATGGGCCTTCTGAGTCCTTTTCTGATGGCTTCTTGAGAAAAAGGCATCTCTATGTCCAGTCTAGTGGCATCACAACTCAAACATCCTGTCAAAACCACACTACTCTACTTGTTGTCCTATGCAAAAGGAACAAGGCCTGTTGAGTAGCTGTTGTGAACTGTGAGAGAAGGGGTAATTCCATAGATCACAGTGTGAGCATTACTAGTTGGATCAGAACCAGGTGGCCCAGAGGGCACCAGCTTCTGCATAAGAAAGAATCCACAAGGACTCAGGGGAGACACGGTGCATTGGGTTTCAAGGATTGTATATCCTCATCTCCCATGTTGTTCAAATCCATGGGAAAATCTCCAGTAAAACAAGAAGGGCCTCAGAGAGGAGGATAAAGCCCCCAAAAATATACGAATGGACTCACATTTGGGTTAGAGATTGTATCATACTCTGCGGTCTCTCCAGAAGGGGGGTAGCAGTTAGGAATTTCTGGATGAGTGTCCATTTTCTTCTCTTCAGTGGACTCTACAACCAAGTTGGAAGAGAATCAGAGCTGGCCCCTCCTTCCACTCACCACCCCCATTGGCTCACCACCCCATCTGACAACCTACTGAGAGTGACCAATTATACTGGTTTACCTGTAACTAAAGGTTTGTTGTTGTTTTTTTTCCCCCAGGGAATGGGACTTTAAGTGCTAACCCCAGGAAAATCCCAGGATTTTCTGGTTACCCTCATTACTTCCCAGGCTCTGAAAGGGGTAGGCACTGGGGAGAGAACTGGAAGGACCTTGGCCTTAGGAGGGAAGCCAGAACTAAGGGATGCAGGCTGATGGTGTTCTCCTTGAGGCAGAGAGTAGGGCCTCTTCATTTCTGTATCCTTAGGCCTACCACCAGTTTGTTGAATTAATGAGGGAGAAAGTGCATGAATGAGGGCGAAGACAAAAATGGTACATGCTCTACCTTTTCTTATTTGTTTCCACATAGTCAAAATAATTAACACCAGTACAAGGACAATGAGCAGCGAGGAAATCCACAGGCCCATGGTGGAATCTAAGTCACCAGCAATACCTTTAAAGAGAGAATGGGTGGAGACACAGGGAAGGAAGCAGGGTTAGCTATGGAAAATGACCCAACTTTTAGCCGAAACCGGTTTGGCTCAGTGGATAGAGCGTCGGCCTGCGGACTGAAAAGATCCCGGGTTCAATTCCGGTCAAGGGCATGTACCTGGGTTGCAGGCACATCCCCAGTGGGAGATGTGCAGGAGGCAGCTGATCGATGTTTCTCTCTCATCGATGTTTCTAACTCTCTATCTCTCTCCCTTCCTCTCTGTAAAAAATCAATAAAAAATATATTTAAAAAAAAAAAAAGAAAATAACCCAACTTTTAGAGCAACTGCTACTTTTCTCCCAGTCTGGTGACTTCCCAGGGGCCTCCAGTTTTTACACAGGGCCCATTCCCATGGGGACCAGGAGCTAAAGAAGGCATAGCTCCCGAGACTATAGGATTCTAGAGAAAGGGGAGAGACAGTCACCTTCACAGAGCTTCCGGGCAAAGATGAGGTTTGAAGAGTTGCTGCTAATGGGGTTCCTGGCCATGCAGATGAAGGTCATGTCCTTTTCCCTCAGCGTCCAGGTTATGGGGAGGACGGAACCATTATGGGACTCATTGGAGGTCTTCCCCAGGGTCTTCCAGCTGTAAGTCACATCCTCTCCTCCCCGTTCCAGGAAGCATGTCAGGTTGGTCACACAGGTGCCATTTTTATTGCTCTTCAGACCCAAGGTGATTTTGGGCTTTGATAGGTGCTCTATAAAAGAGAAATGGACAACCAAGGGTGGCAACTATGCCTATAGCACTCTTTTTCTAAATTATTCTATAAGCCCTGGACCTGAACCTCTTTGAGGTGCTGCAGAGTGGAGCAGAAGTGGCGATTTAGAGCAGAATTCTCATTCTTATCTGGAAAAGAGAACTATCTAGGTCTGCTTGTCCACAGCTATACAGCAACAACTACAATAGTAAGATCTATAATAATAAAAGCATAATATGCTAATTAGACTGGACAGCCAAACAACCTTCCAGATGTCATTCCGTATGTCCTTCTGGAGGAAGCCATGGTGGTGGGGGCCGAGGCAGAGGCAGTTAGGGATGATCAGGCAGGCGAGCAGTTAGGGGTGATCAGGAAGGCATGCAGAGTGGTTAGGGGTGATCAGACAGGCAAGTGAGTGGTTAGGGACAATCAGGCAGGTAGGCAGGCAGAGGGGTTAGGGGCAATCAGGCAGGCAGTCAAGTGGTTAGAGGTGATCAGGCAGGCAGGCAAGTGGTTAGGGGTGACCAGGCAGGCAGGCAAGTGGCTAGGGGTGATGAGGCAGGCAGGTGAGTGGTTAGGGATGTTGAGGCAGGTAGGCAGAGGGGTTAGGGGCAATCAGGCAGGCAGGCAGAGGGGTTAGGGGTGATCAGGCAGTCAGGTGAGCAGTGAGGGGCAATCAGGCAGGCAGGCAAGCAGATAGGGGCAATCAGGCAGGCAGGTGAGTAGTTAGGGGAGATCAGGCAGGCAGAGTGGTTAGGGGTGATCAGGCAGGCAGGCAGAGTGGTTAGGGGCGGTCAGGCAGACAGGCACACCAGCAGTTAGGAACCAGTGGTCCCAGATTGTGAGAGGATGTCCAACTGCCAGTTTGGATGTCAAACTGGCAGTTGGACATCCCGCAAGGTGTCCCGGATTGCAAGAGGGTGCAGGCAGGGCTGAGGGACCCTCCCCTCCCCTGTGCATGAATTTCATGCACAGGGCCTCTCGTAAATAATAACAAGTCCATAAGAATGCAGCTTCCAGTTACTAAGCCCAGCCGTATGGCAAGCATTGTGTTCAATGTATTTTAGATGTTAGCTAATTTTATCTTTTTTAGAGGCTCTCCATTTCTTTGTCCTTAGGCTTCCTTGAAGAGACTTTCCCTGAACTCTTCCGGATGAACAACACTTCTGGGGCCCTTCCCTACTCGGTGCCCACTCCTCTCCCTCAGAGGATGAGCAATGGGTTCATTGCTGAGATGGTGAGAGTCTGACTTCTATCATCTGCATCTCTGTACGTGTGGTTGAACTGTGAAGATTGCTGTTAATGTGGTTTGCCTTTTCCCCCCTTCACCTAGCTCAGTGGTCGACAAACTCATTAGTCAACAGAGCCAAATATCAATAGTACAATGATTGAAATTTCTTTTGAGAGCCAAATTTTTTAAACTTAAAACTATATAGGTAGGTACATTGTTATTAACTTAATGAGGGTTCTCCTAAGCTGGTCTTTGCTAAAAACGTCCTCAATCTGAGGAGTCGATCTTAGCGAAAGTACCCCCACTTCTTCTAACGCCACTTCTTCAAAATAGACCCGCCCAGGCCAAAAACCGACTTCTGCTCATGGGCCACGAAGTTTCAATTGCACTGTACGTGCGCACCCGCACATGGTATTTTGTGGAAGAGCCACACTCAAGGGGCCAAAGAGCCTCATGTGGCTCGCGAGCTGCGGTTTGCAGACCACTGGCCTACCTCCTACAAGCAAACCTGGAAGGCCATCTCCTGGTGTCTGTGATATTGCATCTCAGTGAGTGAGGCAGCTATTCTTGTAGCTAGCTGGTTGAATAATTGTTTTGTAAATTCATCTTTCTTGAATGGGCTCCAAGGTCTAGACTTGGGAAAAAAATATTTCTCCTAGATTGCTTTAAAAGAAAAAAAATAAAGCTTTTTTAAAATTATTTTTTATAATCCTCTCCCAAGGATATGTTTTTATTGATTTTTAGAAAGAGAGGAAGGGAAGAAAAAGAGAGAGATAGATATAGATATAGATATAGATATAGATATAGATATAGATATAGATATAGACATAGATATAGATATAGATATAGATATAGATATAGATATAGATATAGAAACATCAATTGGTTGCCTCAAGTACTTGCTCCCACCGGGGATCGAACTCCTATTCTAGGTATGAGTCCTGACTGGGAATCAAACCTACAATCTTTCAGTGTGAGCGTAGATGCCCAACCAGTTGAGCCACCTAGACAAGGCAAAATAAAGCTATTTTTATCTTTCTTTCAATTTTTGTATCTATTTCTCAATTGATTGGTATCTGTAGAGAAAGAGGTGTGATTGATGTTTATACCTGATAATCTTTCTACAACAGGCATCACTTTCCTCTCCATTACAATTACGGAAACTAAGTTTCAGAGAGATTAAGTAACTTGGCTAAGACCATGCAACTAGTAAACAGAGAAGCCAGCATTTGACCTGTGTGATTGCACTTCCCATTTCACCCACCTGCTGCACACACTTCCTCTTACAGGATCTCTGAGTAGAAGGGGACCTCACTTCAGCCATCGCAGGAGTTCCATCTTCCACATTCTTGCCAAGTGTTTATCCTGCCTTTGCTTACACATCCCCAATATCAGGGAGTTTACCACTTTACCAGGGCAGTCACTGTACTCACCATAGACACGCAGCCCATACTCCTGGGTGAAGGGCTCCTGGAGGGACGAGCTGTGTATTTGGACAGAGTAGGCACCTGAGTCATTCTTACTCAGTTTGCTGAGCTTCAGGGAGTAGTTCCCGTGCAAGAAGCCTACCCTTCCCTTGTCATGATTTTTAGTCACTATGACAGTGTCTGGTTTGTTTGTCGTTGTTGGCTGTATGGTGATAAGAGTAGTACTTTTAAAGATCCAGATAATGCTGTCAATCCGATCTACTGAGTGTGTCAGAGGGAAAGTCACAGACCCACCGACGGCACCCACCAGCTCCTGCTGGGCTCCAGAGGCTGCGGGCCCTGCAGACACAGAGAACCATAAAATAAACGTGAGTCCCTGCCCTTTCCACCAATGACTCAGCCCCTTTGGGCTCTAGAAAGGTCCCAAGAAAGTCGCTCCGTCCAACCCGCCCGGCCCCTGGGAAACCTCTTGGAATCTTATTCATAGGAAGGCATTGAGGTCAGAACTCTTCCTGAAAGGAGTGGCTCCGGTGAACCACCGCACTCCCAGAGGCCTCTGGCTGGAGACAAAGCTCCGAGGCAGACACAAGACCCCACTCCACCCCTGACACGCTCCTGGAGGAGGAGAACTGGGAGGTTACAGTCCAAGTCCTTGCCCACTGCTCCTGGGAGAGCCGAACTAGATGCAGGTGAGGAAGGAGAGCCTTCCTGACATGGGGCAGAGGTTTTCAAGCACAGATCAGAACAGTGGGAGGTAAGCTGTAAGTGCCTCTTGATAGTGATAGCTTAGAAATCTGAGGACCAGTTACCTTTCTCTCTTATGGTAGAGTGCAATTGAGCATCCCGATTTCCCTTTTATGTCTTTTGGTGACCTTCCCTTAAGCATCAGCTGCTCTCCCAGTACTTGAGAGTAAGAGAACCTGATGCCCCCCTGGCTGGTTGATCTCAATGGTTAGAGCTCTGCCTTCAGACTAAGGGGGTCTCGGGTTCGATTCCTGATCAAGGGCACATACCTGGGTTGCAGAATCCCAGCCCAGGTCGAGCCATGTGTGGGAGGCAACTGATTGATATGTTTGTCTCACATTAATGTTTCTCTCTCTCCCCCTCCCTCTCTCCTATCCATTCTCTCTAAAAATCAATGGGGGATGAGGGGAGAGAGAGAATCTGATGCTACCAAATGTTGACCTAGTCCCTTGATTATAGGTCTTGGATCTTGACCAACATTTTTGCTAAATTTATTTTTAAAAGAACTTGTTCCTCTCCCTGGGTAAATGTCTTTTAGGAGGCGATTCCTGTTTTCAAACATTATTCTCCTCTGGGGGGAGGGGGGAGGAGGGTGGTGGCTGTGGGTGTGGGTGGAGGGTGTCAATAGGGGGAAAAGGGGTCACCTGTAATACTTTCAATAATAAAGATAAGTTAAAGATAAATAAATAAATGCAATGTTGAGTACTTTCAAAAAGCAGAAAACACTCACACATGCACAAAACACACACATTATTCTCCCTATAATTTATTGGTCAGTGGATATATTCTTTGAGTCCCTCAGGCCTTTATTAAATCATCCTGTTAAGGAATCTGATTTTCAAACAGCTGCTCTCCCTGCCTCCTTAATTCTAAGGTAGGATGGTTTTTCAGTTGCTCTCTGATCATCTCAAGGGTACCAAAGTAGTCCCAGTAAATGTTACAGATGAAATCAATTTTATTTTTAATTATTGATGGATCAGTTAATGCATTTATTCTTTCACTTCAACAATTGAGATGAAGGAATTAATATTTTACAGTCAAATAAAGGTTGGGCATCACTTGCTCTCAAGTAGGTGTAATTTTTGCATTTAGGGCAACTAGGAGTTATTTTTTCTTGACCAATCAGGGAGGTGACAAAACTGTAAGTATGGGCTTTTGTGCTTTAGCACACTTTTAAGCTCTAAACAACTACCTTTTTCACTTCACACATGGAGAGGTGCTACATTCTGAGGGTAAATGTCAAAAGATATAAATTATGTGGTGATATAAGAAAACTAGAGGCCCAGCGTGCAAAGTCACCTGTGGTAGCCTGCTGCTGTTCACAGCACACCCACCCACCCACCCCCAGCCCACCCACCCGCCACTGCTCACAATGCTTGCTGCCCTGCCCGTCCACCACCTGCCTTGCTGCAGTCAGAGCCTGTGGGCCATGGGGGAGGGACCGAGAGGTCCTCAATGCACCTCATTGTGACTGGTCATTTGGTCGTCCTGGTCGTCATGGACACTGGCTTTTTATATATATTTAGACTAGTAGCCCGGTGCACGAAATTCGTGCACTTGGGTTGGGGGGGGGAAGGGGCCCCTCAGTCTGGCCTTCACCCTCTCCAATCTGAGACCCCTCAGGGAATGTCCAACTACCTGTTTGTGCCCACACTTTTAACAGATAACAGCTCCATTGTTGTTCCTTTCTTATGCTTAAAACCATTGGAATTAGTAGGTATTCAAAGTGTGTATACATTTTGGGGGGACACCCTGTATATCTCTAGTCAGTGGTGAAAGAAACCAACAGCAGATTTGGAACCCCCAGACAGAAAACCTTGCTCACTCCCCACATGTCTCCCCACTTCACTTTCCACCTTCGTGGGCAGCAGGAGAATCAACGTTTTCTCTCATTAATTCAGAAAAGCACGTCCTGTCACCCGCTGCCTGGCAGGAGTGCGCTAGGCTCCAAGCAAGCGAGGCTCAGTCAGGGCAGCCTTCACTCATGGGTGCTGGCACCCAAAGTGCACATTCCTCCTCTACAGTCGCCCCGACTATCCCACTGTTTCACTGAGAGGACGGAACTCCTCTCTGCCTCTGGGTTCTTGATCTTGAACACTGACCGAAGGCACCTCAGCGAGGGCCGCCCGTGCCCACCAGGTGTGTCTGTCTGCACCTGCTCCTGCCTCAGCAACTGCATTAACTCCCCAGAGGTGATCTTGTAGCTGCACTGGCCTCCGTGGGAACAGGGTATCACCACTCCACCCTCTCACTGTCATTTCACAGGCGCCCACCCTCAGCACCCAGAACACCCAGACACTCTCCAAAGGACGTGGGCGCATCAGAGGGGATGTGTGCACATCCTGTGGGGGTTTTAGGCATGCTGGGTGATGGAAGTGCGGTGGAGAGGCGGGGGGAACTTGTGCACGCCTTGGTTTGCAACTGTTGCAGGTGTGGGAGGGTGACAGTGTGCTGGGGGATGTTAGCACGCCAGGGGGGGATGTGCACACTGGGGGCCTATGGCTTTGCAGATCCACAAACCCCCGTGGTGCAGTCAGAAGGACATCAGTCTGGCCCACCACGGTGGCTGTCCCTGCGATCCTGCACCTTCTGGGCCAGGAGGCGGATCATGCACAGCCACTCCTGGGAGCTGATGGCCTGCAGGCGCTACTTCAGCTCAGCCTGCAGGCTCTGCATGGCGCGCTCACAGCTGTCACCACCGCCATGTGGGGAGTACAGGCCGCCCTCCACCAGCCTGCCTCCCCTGTCCAGAGGCTCTCTGCGCTGCTCACCTGCCCAGAGTGACTGGGGCTGGGCAGAAGCCAGGTGTCCTGCCTGCCCTACCCTCGCCGATCCGCCCCGTGTGAGCTGCCTCCCTGCCATGAAGGGTCACGGATCCAGGTTCCGGGACCACGGACAGCCTCAACGCTGCCCCCCACCTGGCAGGGTCACAGATCTGTGTCTTGGTCCCGTGGACAGCCTCAAGCACTGCCCCCCGCCCGGCAGGGTCACAGATCCATGTCTTGTCCTTTGGACAGCCTCAAGCACTGCCCCCGCCCGGCAGGGTCACAGATCCCAGGTCCCGAGACAGCAGACAGCCTCCTGTGCTGCCCCCTGCCCGGCAGGGTCACAGATCCGGTCCCGGACTGCAGACAGCCTTGCCCACTGCCACCCACCTTCAGTAAGCAAATTAGCCGCCATCTTGTTGCTTCAGGGTGGGGGTCCCCACTGGGGTGCCTGGCCAGCCTGGATGACGGGCTGATGGCTGTTTGCAGCTGGTCACACCCCCTTCAGGGTGGGGGTTCCCACTAGGGTGCCTGGCCAGTCTGGGTGAGGGGATCGGGCTGTTTTCAGGCTGGCAGGTGACTGAAGCTCCCAACCTCTCCTTTTTTTCTTTTTTTTTTTTAATTCTGGGATTTATTTGCCTTCTATGGCTGTCACTGGAGCTGAGAGCCGGCTTTAGCTCTGAGGCTCGGCTCCAGCTCTGAGGCCTCGGCTGCCGAAAGCAGGGATCTGGGTTTGTTTGGCTTCTATAATTGAAACACTGTTGCGGTCCTGCTGGCTGAAGCCTGGCTGGCTGAAAGCAGGTTTCTGGAGTTTGTTTAGCTTCTATAATTGCAACATAGTTGCTTAGATTGCAGCTCAGAGGCCAGCAGCGGCAGGCAGGGAACCTTGGCTTCCTCCTTCACTGGAGCAAGCAAGCCTCCTGTTCTCTTCAGCTGCCTGGCTGCCGGCCGCCATCTTGATTGGCAGTTAATTTGCCCTGATTAGCCGATGGGAAGCATGTCGGAGGTATGGTTAATTACCATGTTTGTCTATTATTAGATAGGATGTCTCCACATTTATAGTTCAAATGAAACTGGAGGATGACAGTACAAATTGCCAACATGAGTCTAGATAGAGTCTATTGTTCTATCTTAATTGTATCTTCAGGGAGGGAAGAGGGGTCATGAAAGAAGAAAGTAGCTCCATGCCAGTCCCTAAACGTGAATTTAGAGAATAAAGGGGGTAAGTCCCAGCAAGTTTTGTTTTCTCTTTCCAATTTACTATAAAAAGTGATGTAGAAATAAAAGACTTCTCAACTGTCCCAAAATGGACTGCATTTTTCCTTTCTGTGATGGCTTCTCCGCCTGCCACTGTGACCCTACAGAGTTTACCATGTCTAGGTAGGTCATGCTTTTCTCATTCAGTCATTCCTTTCTTTAACAAGACTTTTTATGGTTCTGTATTTATGCCAGGCACTGTTTAGGAGCTGAGGATAGAACTGGGGGGCAAGCCAGCCATGGGGTTGGAAGATTGTCATCTAATAATTAAGTGTGTGCTATAAAAAGGAGAGTATCCAGTGCTTGGGGGGAAAATACAATTGGGGGACTAGACATGACTGTGGGATCAGCTGATTCTAGAGCATGAGTGGCTACAAGACCTGAGAAGATTTGGCCTCATGACACTCATCTGACCATCACGCCAGTGTCAGTGCATGAATGGTGTAACTTCCCTCATTTGCATCCATTTCACCCCTTCTTCGTTGTGTGGCATCCAGGTGGTTGGGTAAGAATGGCAGGCTCCCAGCTTGGTGGCAGCCTTCCTCAGGCATGGTAATTGATTCAGGGCTCCCACATAACCTGGGTTGATTGTATCTGAGAGAAGCCCAGGATATTTGCTCTAAGGCCAGGATGACCATACGATGCTGTGGGAAGATAGGAACCCCAGACTGCCACCCACCTACTGCCACCAGACAAGCAGCCAGTTCCCTGTCCTCACCGGATCCCATTTACCTTCCACCTCACACGCTTTTGTTTGTGCTGAGTCTTTCTCTCGGCTTCTCTAACCATATTCAAGACCCATAAAGCCCAGCTCAAAGCCCTTCCCCGAGGAAGTCTCCAGCTCTTTCTCACACCCACCCAGTAAAAACCCACCAGTCATTTATCTTTTACTTTAAATTCTTCAGAAGGAGGTGTTCTTCGGGGTGGTTATTGGCCATAGCCTTTTGCTGTGAATTAGCCAAAGTCTACAGGCACTTGGTTCCAGATCACCCAGGAGGGGCGGAGCTGGCTTCTCCTGCCAGGCACGTGGAGTGCTGGGAACACTTTAGAGCTCTGGGTTAACTGGAAGTCAGGAGAGCTGGGTTTCCTTCTGGTTCCTTCATAATAACAACACTAGTTTAAAGGGCATTATCTTTCTTCATCCTCAAAGCAATTCCATGAGATAGAGGTGAAGCTCCACGTTATAGTTGAGGACACTGGGGCTCCAACATGCTAAGTGACGTTCCCAAGTCCCCAAACTTGAAAATGAGAGAAGTGGGAGAAGTTAGTTAATTCCTCTGTCTCGGAGGTCTGCGTGCTGTCCACTACCGCCTCACCGCTGACCACTTTGAGTTTCGGTCGTCTCAACTTTCATAGGAGAAAAAGAACAACCTTTATTTATTGGCCAGGATTTGGGGGAGGAGGAAGTGTGCATATGGTTTTGGGAAGTACAGAGCAATCTAAAACATGGTGGGAAGCAGGTGAAGCGGCGTTGGGGGGGAGGGGCGGGGTGTTTATAAGAAACAGACCTTAGAACTTCTCTTTTTTTGGTCTCATTTTCATAAGGATGGCTAAAACTGAACAAAAAACACAGATTTCAGTTTTGGCATCGCTTCTTGGCAAGGTAAGCTTTTCAGAAGGTTGGTCTGGAACCTGATGCCTATAGACCAGTCGTTGATTACTTCACACCATGCAGGGAATATTCACTAATATTCCTGCCTTCAGAGGTGAAGGGAGCTGGGGCAGGAGACACTTTGCCTTCTGCTTTAGCCAAGTCACTGATATTCTTGGTATCAGAGGAGTCCGCTTTAAGACGCCCTCCATAGTAGAAAGAGCTTCCTCCCTTTGCCACTTTCCTGTACTTGGGTTATCAGCTCCACCCCTTAACCTATTCCCCCAAGTGTGTCCACAGTTCGGGTTTTAGGTAAGCCCCTGCCATGTCCTCCCCACTTCCCCTTCTCTAAGTCTCACTTTAATCACCATTTCTGATCAGGGGGGAAAGTTTATAAGGTGAGAACCCACTTTAGGATTAACTGCTTAGAACCAGGGGCTTCCTAAACATATAAACTTCTAATGAACTCAAGGAGGGCGAGGATCCGCGCAGGCTGAACAGTTGGTGAGGCCAGGTGGTGGGGAAGAAAGGACTGGGTGTGGTCTTGGGCAGATCACTTCACGCAGGCTTGGGGCTCAAGTAAACAAATCAGTTCTGTCAGATCTTCAGAGAGACATCTGCTGGAGGTCCCCCAGGAGTCTGATGACCGGAGGTATACTCCTAACTTATGGAGCTCCTGATCTGTTCTGAGATCCCCGAGGATAGTAAAATGTTCAGACTAGAGTACTGTGTCAGGTGGAGGAAGTTTCCAGTCCTTCATGGCCTTAAACAAAAAGTACCTACAATATGAGTTAGTTTTCTTTTTCTTCCTTTTTCTTTTTGGTTAATCTTGACCCTAGGATATTTTTCCATTATTATTATTATTATTTTTAGGGAGAGTGGAAGAGAGAAGGAATGACAAAGAGAAACATCAATGTGAGAGAAACACATCGACTGGTTGCCTCCTGCACAAGCCCTGGCCAGGGCCCAGGCCAGGAAAAAGCCTGCAGCCCTGCAACTAAGGTATGTGCCCTTGACTGGAATTGAACCTGGGACACTTTGGTCCACAGGCTGATTCTCTATCCATAAGCCAAACTGGCTAGGGCCAATATCAGTTTGTTTTCTACATAGGGAATGATTAGATTGCTTGGGTTAAGTCCTGGCTGGTGTAGCTCAGTGGTTAAAGCATGGGCCTGTGCACGGAAAGGTTAGGGGTTTGATTCCCAGCTAAGGGCACCTACCCGGTTCACAAGTGTGAGAAGTAACCAATAGATCTCTCTCTCTCTCTCTCTCTCTCTCCATACTCCTCCCTTCCACTCTCTCTCTAAAAAATAAAAAAAAATAAAAAAAAATAAAGACAATGGAATATCCTCGGATGAGGATTAACAAAACAAACAAAATTATTTGGTTTAAGAGATAAAATTAGAGAACAAAGATGGTGGCCTAGGTAAATGCTGCCTCCCACAACTACATCAAAATTACAATTAAAATATAGAACAACCAACATTCAGAACTGCCTGAAATCTGGCTGAATGCAAATCCTACAACTAGAGGAGTAAAGAAGAAAGCTCATTGAGTCTGGTAGGGGGCAGAGGCTGGGAATGGGCTGGTCTGACACCCCCCTGTGTCATTTCTTTAATTGAGAGGGATATCTCCAAGGCCTACCTAGAGAAGCAAGGGATCCTAGCCCCACACCAGACCCCCAGCCCAGAGTCCAGAGCTGGGAAAATAAGTTCCTGTAACTTCTGGCTATAAAAACCAGCGGGAACTGTGGCTGATTGACATGAAGGCTGCTGAAGTGTCAGGTGTTCCTCTTCAAGGGCCCAACAAACTTACATGGTTCCACTTCCTCTGAGCTCCAGCACCAGGTAGTGGCTTGGGGGAGATCCAGTGACATACGGAGAGGAACTGAACTGTCTAGCCGGGTGGGAGTTTTGGGCGCAGCTTTCTTCCAGACAGGAGTGCTCATAGGGGTCATTGTTCCTGTGCTGGGACCTCCTCCATTGCAAAGCTGACTGGTGGCCCTATCCGAGGCTTCATCAGCATGGTCCACACAGTTCGCTCCACCCTGGTGATTCTCTGAGACTCCGCCTCATCCAATTTGCAACCCCACCCAAGCTGTTTGCAGCTACTTTTTCATATGAATGGCCTGAGCTGGCTCAGGTTTCAGACTTTTCTAAAATCTCTAAACGAGTAGCAGCTGGAGTCAATGTGCCCCAAACCTTTCAATAATAGGCCTAAGACCTAGCACCAACCTGCCTTATTTCACAGCTGGGTCTCACCTGGACACTTTCTAGCCCAATACAAATAGCAGCCATCTGCAGATCTCTCTGTAGCTCCCCCTGGATGACCCCAGGCAGTGGCTGACTTTGCACCTCCCTGGAGGCCCCAGAGCCAGTGAACCTGGTAGACAGCTTCAGACTGTACCAGATTACAACTCTACACATCCACAAGCATCACATTCAAGGGGCAGACTCAGTAAGCACCAAAGCCCCACTAAAGTCCTGCTCCATAGGGTGTCTGCTGCATAGCAGCTCTTCCGTTGTAGATGAAGCTGGTCCTCACAGCCAGTTGGCCTGGAGGCCAAT